ATTCTTAGCTGATGACGTCACTTTCTGCTCCTTGCTCCTGCTCCTTGCTCCTGGTACAGAATCGGCCATCTCCCTCTACTCACGTTGAGTAATTTGACTGAAATGATAAATTTGGGAACTTTTTATTTTTTTAAATTAATCATAATTTTTTCTTCGAAAAAATGATCATAAAACAGTTTCTGCTGAAATTTTGGTACAAAAACATTTCAAATTTATGATTTCAGTCTAATAACTACCGTATGATCGAAAAAAAACGGCGTCCAGTTGGCTGGGAAATGACGATCGATGATTTTTCCCATATAAATTTACATATAAAATGACAGCGATCTTCATTCCATAGCCATCGCTGACGCCGTTTTTTCTCGATCATACGGTATTTAGTCAACATATGTTTAATAATTGATGTCAATGATGATAGGTATTGATAATTTCGATTCCAAATATCTCGAGAACCGTTACTCGTAGCGATTTTTACCAAGATACCTTTTTTACGTAGAAAACATCGTAAATGTATATTTTTAACTCTGTAGTTTTATACAGGTACGGACAAAAAGTTATTACTCTTCAAACCAGTTAGAAAATATGTAGGTAGCGCCCTCTACAAGTGGGAGTCATATTGACAACAAAATCAAATTTCCCATGCCAAAAAACTCCTAAAAACCAATTTTTACTTAAATATTGACGTTTCTTCAGAAATTATTTGGAAAAAATCGAAATAAAAATGAACCTTCTACACAATGTATCTCCGAAACTAAGCATTTTAGGACATACATTTATACGAACTTTTTTACTTATTTTTACCTGCAAAATATGCTGACAATGTTTCCGGAATACAATTTGGACCACCCTGTATAAATTTTGTATATTAATGAAAAACCTCAGAATTTGGTTTTCCCTTTCTACAGGAGGATTATTTAGAGCAACAACCAGTAAATATATTAATCTAATTTTACTAACTTTTAGTATAAGTTAAAATACACATCCCCAAAAAAATAAATAAGTATAGAGAGCTACCATAAATAAGTGAGCTCACGTTTTCGATCTAATATGTAGTTCCCACAGCTGAGGAGGATAAGTATAATTGTGTTTCCAAGGTTCGAAGTCACGTACTGATTTTTTTATCGCACGAGTTAAGTAGAGTTAAATACTCGGTCCGTCCGGTTGATTTCACTCGCGTAAACTGCCACAACATGAAACATGAAATAATATCTTGTAACTACTTGTTTTTAAGACGATCAGGTGGCATTCATTTTGTTGAAGACGTTCTCACATATACAGGGTTGTTCACCACATACGACACGAAGTATTGTAGCTAAACGACTAGATTTTTACAAATTGTAAGTTTTGGATTCGTTGAAGGACTATTAGAGGTACAATTTAAAAATATTTCTACAAAATACAGAGTGTCCCAAATAAATAAAAAATATCAAAGTTGTATTTTTTTAAATGGAACACCCTGTATATTATTGCATTTTTAGTTTTTACGCTTAAAATAAAGGTAAATTTGATTAAGGTTTATTACACTTAAACCTTACCGTTTTTGAAATATTTTCAATTGTGTGAAATTGCAGTATAAATTTTAAGGCTTCATTTCTCCGAGGATATCAAAGTTTTTATTACTAAATATTTACTGAAGTTTATTTATTGATCAGTTATTGTGTTGCAATAATAAAAATTATACTACCTTATACAGAGTGTCTAAAAATTTATTTTAAATAATTACTAGCTTTAAACGGCAATAACTTGTTTAATTTAAATGGAACACCCTGTATATTTAATGAGAATCAGATGCACAATTTAATTGTCTATCAAATTGTATTATACCATTTTTACCTATCTCTTCAAGTTTCCGTAGAAAATGCATTTTCTTGTAATTTAGAACTCATTTATCAATATACCCATGGAATACTGACATTTTAGATTATTTTTAAAGATGTACCAAATTTTTAAAGAGTACAGATACTAATATTGTCGATATAGTTCGTTTATTTCATTAAAAAAAACTGTTTAAATATTTGTTAAAAAGGACCAATTAATATGATTCCAGTATTCAAACTACATTAATTGACTGTTTGGTTTGATTAATAATAATTGCTCCAAATACTAAAAAGCTCAATTATGTATGTGTATTAGACAGTGTGGTAAAAAGTAACACCTTAAAAATGATATTTAATTTTTCGACAAATGCCTATTTATAACAACAGAGACGTTCATTTTTATAACTTATTATTGTATTGATTTCTGATTCAAATCCACATTTATTTAGAATAATTTATTAACGAACACAATTAAGTATGTAGTTAATTAGTATTTGGGCGGAAATACTGGTGGTATATTTAATTAATGGTATACTCTTTTATAAAAGATTTAAATAGTTTTCTTTTTTGCATACATAATGGGTTAGTAATATTATCGTTTTACTAAAAACGATAATATTACTAGCCTGTACATTTTGTACATTTGTTGTTTTAAAAACAATCTAAAATGTCAATATTCCATGGGTAAATTGATAAATGAGGTCTAAATTATAAGAAAATGCATTTTCTACGAAAACTTCAAGGAATAGGTAAGAAGTGGTAAAATACAATGCCGTTTAAAGCTAGTAATTATTTAAAATAAAATTTTAGACACTCTGTATAAGGTAGTATAATTTTTATTATTGCAGCACAATAACTGATCGATAAATAAACTTCAGTAAATATTTAGTATTAAAAACTTTTTGATATCCTCGGAGAAATGAAGCCTTAAAATTTATACTGCAATTTCGCAAAATTGAAAATATTTCTAAAACGGTAAGGTTTAAGTGTAACAAACCTTAATCAAATTTACCTTTATTTTAATCGTAGAAACTAAAAATGCAATAATATACAGGGTGTTCCATTTAAAAAAATACAACTTTGATATTTTTTATTTATTTGGGACACTCTGTATCTTGTAAAAATATTTTTAAATTGTAGCTCTAATAGTCCTTCAAAAAACCCAAAACTTACAATTTGTAAAAATCTAATCGTTTAGCTACAATACTCCGTGTCGTATGTGGTGAACAACCCTGTATACTGACGAGTTTTTTGTGGTTTTTGAATGATGGAAAACAAGCGAAGGGGGTTTTTGTTATTTTGAACGAGGATTTCTTTGAAACGAATAGGATGTAGAAAATGTTCAGGGTCATGTAAAGTAAACTTTAATACACACTAATTTTGTAGTTTAATCATAATTAATATTTAACATCCAGACTTTTTTTGGGGATTGACTTTTTGTCTCTTTTTATAGCCGAATTGATATTAATCTGTCTTCAGTATTAATACAACCTATCCATGCTTCTAGAATAATATTAACCATCTGTAGCATCCAGAATAAAAAAATTGGGAATTTTGTTTAAGTGAAGACCTAAAAAATATGCACTAGGATGTATTTCAGGAATTTCTACAGGGAGGCTAAAAAAGTGTGAGTGGATCGGGTTGATTTTTTTTTTAAATGTAACATCCTGTATATTATTGCATTTCTGGCTTCTTTGCTGATCACTTTACATAATCCTAATATATTATTAAATATGTTTTGAGAGTTTCAGAGATGTTAATAATTAAATAAAAAATATTTTTTTCATACTTTTTTAAAAATATTATTAAAAATAGAAGAAATGTCCTGAAATCAAAACTATACTAGGTATTTACTATAGTTGGTCTGTACATACTTTCCTGTTAATATCATAATCTTAAACCGTACAGGGTGTTCAAATCCTAAGTCAAAATTTCTAAAATATAAAATAGTTTTTCTTGAGTTTTTTAAATGGAACACCTTGTATATTATTCCATTGTTAGAAGGAGAATTATAAAATGAAAAATTTTAACAGTTTTGCGGATATTCATAATATTATATTCCATATGGGGTTTTCAACAGTAATTTTGTATCAAAGGCAAATATTTGCAAAACCGCTAAAAATCTTAAAATATTTTAAATACAAAAAATGTTAACTTTTTAATTCTCCATCTAACAATGCTATCATATACAGGGTATTTACGTTTAAAAAAAAACGAAGAACAATTATTTTATATCTTAGAAAGTTTGGCATAAAATTTTGAACACCCTGTATGGTTTAAGATTATGATATTTGAAGCAAAGTAAGTACAGACTGCCTACCTACTAGTAAATACCTAGTATAGTTTTGATATTGGAACATATATTTGATTTTTATTTATTTATTAATATTTTTGAAACTATCAAAACAGATTTAATAATATCTTACAATTATGTAAATAGAAAAGGAAGACAAAAATGCAACAATATACAGGGGGTTTCATTTAAAAAAAATCATCCCGATTCACTCACACTTTTTTGAGCCACCCTGTAGAAGTTAAAATATTTTCCTGGAATACATCCTAATGTATGTATACTAACAAATTCTTTTAACTTCTCTAGATAAATTTTGCTGTATTTATTACACATTTTAATCAAAAATCTTTCAACCAATACTCAATTTTTGTGACATCTTCCATTATTTCTAATATTCTACAATATTCCTCGACGTACTTAATGACATTTAAATTTAATAAACAAATAAGTAGCTTCATAATCTTTATCTTAATTAGACCCATGAAATAATCCAACCAAGAGATTCCAATCAGAAGAAAAAACCCACAACACCTACAACAAGACAAATACATATTCTTCACCCATATAAAAAACGAAACAAAAACAAAACCTCCACGCAACGGATATCACTTAAACCAAGAAGCCGGCTATACATCGATAAATCCCTACAACTTCTCTAGTTATCAATGATCAAAGCTCTATCTCCATCACTCTCAACCCCACCGCTTCTCCTTGTCTCTCCCTATAGCCGAGCTTAGGTGGGCTTGGCATTTGTGCGACTTAAGCCTGCCTCTCGGTGAATAGCCATAGCCAACCGCGTTGCGAGCGCTTTAATCTACCGTTCCCCTCCCCTCTGTACGCCCCTGTTTCACCTGTGGAGAATGAGTAGCAGAAAGGTAGTCACTCGGCGTTATGCTCGCTACCTGTGAGCATTTGTGAGTCGGTGAGCTTTGAGCGGGCTATTTCCGGGCGAATAATACACATCTACAGAGACAAAAACGGATGTTATAGTTGGTTTCGGGTTGTATTAGTGTGTGATTTTTGAATTGTTTTAGTTTTTTCTTCGGAGTTTTTTTTCTATTTTTGCCTGGCTGTGATATCGGACTGAAAAGTACTGGGTAAAGTGTTTGAAGTTGGTGAGGAAGTTTAGGTTTGATCTCTTGAAAAAAAGATTGTAAGTAGTTTTTTAATTTGTTACTTGATTGATAATCACTATGTGTAGTGTTATTTCGGAATATTTTTTAGAGATACCTCAACAAACATATGGCTAGAAAGAAATGTTTTTTAAAACCTTTGTAATCAAATTAAACACTGTTTTACTACCAACACAATTCCTTTGTAATGTTGATGACCTTATTAAGTAAACTGTTTTGGTGTATTGTGGTGAATTAGTGTTTTGTTTTGCTCTTATAACACCAAAGGTTCCAAACCTCACTCCATTCTTTTAATAGTAAGGCAATATATTTATTTCTTTAATACATTTTGTTTTTACTACCTTTTGTTATTATTATTTTTCAGTGAGTTTGTTTATTACAGGCTCTATTAAATTATTTTTACATACTTTATTAAATTTCTATATTCTCAAAACAAAATAAATGTCATGATTTATCGTTTTTAGTTGTGTTTAATTTAACAAACTTTATTTCTGTTTGTGTTAGCATATTTTTATTATTAGTTTTCTCTTTTTTTATTTAACTTTTTTATAGATAATATTTATTGAAACCTTGCAATCAAATATAATAGTTTTAATGTAGATCTTAGCTTTCTTTATTGATTCATGGTTTTATTGAATTTTGTTGATTTTTAATTGTTTTTCAGTTTATTTTATTATTTATACTAGTTGTTTTTTATCAAAAATGTTTGTCATTTTTTATAATGAACAGTTTAGTATGTATTTTTCATACTTTGTTTCTTTTCGTTTATTTCTTGCTTTTAATTAATAAATTCTTTAATTCTTAGAACTTAGTTTTTGTAGCTATTATTTTTTGTTATTAACTTATCAATGTTTCTATAATAGTTTAAACACATCCGAAGTCACTAGAAGCTCTTGGAATTTTTCAAAAATCAAATTTTGGAATATAACAATAGATAATTAATAAAATGAGAATCATGATCAAAAAAGTTATGTAATTGCTCTAAATAAAATAATGTTATTTAGTGGTAATTAAACAAAAATTAACACTAATTAATAATATTGATTCATGTTAATTTTGGGCAGTTTTAAGCCAATTTTTAGCAAATGACATCTAGAGATTGACGTCGCTAAAATTATCATCGATTGTCTTTGCGCAGCTGCCTTTAAAGAGGTTTTTTTTGGTCATAAGGTATAATAAGGAAAATAGTTTAATTATACAAATTTCTAGCCCCGTTATAATTTATTTATCAGAAATATTTACTTTTTTGAGTAATAATTCCTGAATATATTAAAATTACACTCCAAACTAACCATTTTTATCTTTTAACTTTTTTTTGGTACTACCATTATTCAGCCACAAAAGGTACCTGTTTATCTAACTGATTTTTATTATTTTTTCATTTCAGAACCTAACATTAATACCCGTTCTTTAAATGGGCTTGAACAAACATTCAAATTCACCCATCGCGCCTGCTAGACTTATGAATTTTTGAAACTTTTCAAAGGAAAATGTTAATTTCGAACGGCACTACACTGGCGACGGGAAACGATTTTTCCAGCGTTGCCACGTTGTCCGGTTGCTGTCCAGTGGCGCCCAATCGTGCGGGCATCGTCAACTGGAAAATGGACCCTGTGGGATTGCCTGTGCCCAACACCGCACCCAGTGTGTTGAGTTCTGGAGTGGCTCTCAGTCCAACAGGTTAGTTAGTGTGTGTTTGATTATTTTATTTGGTTTATTTATCTGAAAATATACCAAACTTTATATAAAAAATAACGATTAATTCTGATATAAACAGTTAAAGGTAGTAAAATCTTTTATTATACTTTTTGAGAAATCATCATTTTTATTTAAGATATTTTAGCAATCTGTGTTTCTTCTTCCAATTTGTATGTTTTATTCTATATATATTATACTACTGTAACGAAATAATTAAAATATAATTATTTTTACAATTTCCTGTGGAGTATTATAAATAAAAGTCCAAACCAAAACGACAAGATTCTTGACAGTGATAGATGCGTCTGTCATTTTAATTTCAAAGTAGTTTATTTTATTTTACAAAGAAATAAGTTGGTACAACTGGAACGCATAGCAGGAAACTAATATAATATTTAAAATTTGACTGATAAGTGATTACTTAAATATAAAAAAATTATATATTATTAGATAAAATATTGTGAAAAAAAACTGAAAAAATGTAATCGAGTTATTTTATTAAAAAAAAGGTATGTGTTAACACAAAACAAACAAGAGCAAAACACCACATACCAAAATAATATAGAAAAGAACTATTTCTTACTTTCAAGTTTCAAGAAACTCTCCGTATTTAATATTATATTTATCAATATATCTTATGTACAGATACAAATTTGTAATATTCCACAGGAATAAATAAAACAAACTATTTTATTAATAATAACATTTGCCAAATTGTATACCTTAAAGATTGATTAATTAAATATAATCTTAATCTTTTTAAACCAGTACCTTTTGATATTATTAACAAATAAAAAAAGACTGACAAATCCCATGGTAAAGAGTGGGGCCGCGTTCCCGTAGCGCAACTCAGAATAACAATTTTGAAACCAATTAGCAGGACCATGGCAAGACGTACGTCTTTATTGCTATCTTTCTTTATTATGTGTGCTTTATATGAAAAAGAAAGAGATAGGTATAAAACGTATCGTAAGACATTATCGCACATCCTGGCTGGCGTAAAATTTAAATTAGCCATTACTAGTAGTATTCTTTCATTCTGAAACTGAAAATTTTCACTTAAACTGATTTATTCCCTATGCCACGTAAAGGGAACGTGGTGTAGGGAATAAATTAGTTTAAGTGAAAATTTGCAGTTTCTTTCGGAACGAAAGAATACTACTATTATAAGGGAAATTATAAAAAAAGGAAAAATTGTACTGTTTTATAAACATATTTATTTATACATAAAAATAAATAAACTTTTTATAATATAATAACAAAAAATAACAGTGTTTATTCCACCCACCTACCAGTTTTAAATGCAGAAGAACTGACTGTTGCAGGAAACGATGGGCCAATTTTTTTAAAGGGCATTAAAAATCTCATTTTCGAAAAAACTGCCTAATTGCAATAACAAAGTGAATATCCAAGCAAAGAAGACTTTACGAGAATCATGATCCTGAACCATTTTCAAGTCCAGTTTTAATCCTAAAACAAAAGTAAAATAGGTATATTAATAAAGTTTCTGGTTACTATAAAGCAGCTATAAACTACCTACCCAAAAAATGAAAAAAATTAATTGTATTAATTTGTTATGTTAAGAGAGGTTCGAAATATTTTTGACACTACTACTTCTACTTTTTTCTTAACAAAATGATAAATATAACTACTTACTTTTATTTTACCGGGTGTCTTTAACATATCTATCAGAGAAAGGGGGCACCAATACATATAGAAAATAGATGATACTGGCTCCTGCAGCAAATAAAATAACAAAGAGTATAATCTAAAATTATAAGTAACAAAATATAAATACCTATATGGAACAACGAAATTTGTTCCCTATCCATATTCATAAGTCAATAAAATGGAGAGTTTAGAAAAAAAGGTAAATCACCAAAAGAAAAATTAACAAACATGAGGAATTGTCATGATGTTGTCATCTTGGTTGTCGTGATGACGAAAACGAAAGGCGATTGTTCTAATTTCTATTTAGAAATTACGTTTTATATGGCTGCTTCTTTCTCTCTTGTTATATTAGAATGAGATAGTGGTTTGGTTTGGTTTGGTTTGATAGAAAATAGACGCAATGCGCAGATCAACATAAATAGAACGAAATTTTGCGTTCTGAGTTGCGCTACGGGAACGTTGTCCCTCTCTTTGCCATTTAATTTGCCAGTCTCTTTTTATTTGTTTGTCTATGGATGCACTAATCTACGACGAGATGGTATACAAACTTTATTGATGGTAACTTTATTGGTGTATTGTTAAGACTTTCTGCCTGGGCAGCGAGGAAACTGGGCTGTGGATCTACCAGTTAATTTTCTCTCGATTTTTCCTCCACTTGGCTTCAAAAGACACAAAGCACACGTAATAACACGAATCAAAATGTATCATCTTCCAAAAGGCAGCTATTTGACACAAGTTGACACAAAATTATAACCTATAATTTGGCAAGACTTTGACAAGCCTCAAAAATCTAAAGGCGAGTTTATACGCATCGGCGTCCGTTTGTCGTTCATCGTTCCGTCAAACCAATAAAATTGAAATATGATCTGTCATTTTTGAAATAAACCAATAAAACTGGACTGATTTATATTTAAACCCATCCAAAGTTAACTTAAAAAATATTAGAAACTTTTTTTAGTAAAATCTTTGAATAAGAAGGAGCATATCAAAAATCTTAGGTACACCGCGATGGACCTCAAATATGGCCGACTTAAATTCTTAAGGTTTATCAGTGTCGTTCTAATTTTATTTAAAAAATGTAAAACTATTATGTAGGGTAGACGTGGGGTAGACGTGGTGTAGACTCAATAATTTGTTGTTTTATTTTACATTGTGAATAAATGTTGTTAGTTATTAAAATTGTTACAAAAATATATAATTCTAATAAATATAGATAAGTTATAATAAGTATTTATTAACACAAACATCCGATACGCTACTGAAGCAGGTAAGTCAAATTAACGTATCTAAATTCTTTGACATCTAATCTTAAACAAGTAATAAATAAAAGCTAAAATGCAAGAAAAATATATAATTTAGTTAATTTAAGTGAGTTTCATAAATGATCGGTTTACTACACGTATGTATATTATATAGTCACTTACTAGCGAAAAGTTGTTCCATTATTTCACTCAATTTTTGCCGAGATCTACCGCACGCTAAACAACCAACTATTTTAGAGCCTTTTTCGATAAATCGCGATAGTGTCACTGTTAATTTAAGTGCTGCCACAATTTCCATCTAGATTTACTACCTTTATACAACTATCAGTAGTAGAATAAATAATAAATAACATAAAATAAGCTCCGTAAAGACTGACAAATCCACAATATTTCAAATCAAATTCAAATGTGTCAAATGAATCGTCAAACAGAACTGTCAAGGATCCCCACCCCAGAGTGCTTTTTCCGCCCACCATACGTGGATAGCATTATGCTCCTTCCTTAGTCTTCTTATTCAAAGAGTAAAATAAATAGATTGGTATGTGACGTCATCTGCTTTTCTTCTGTCATCGTCTGTCGAAATCTTACCTGAGAAAAAAGACAGAGTATACTTTCTTTAATGTAATAATATGAATTAAGTATATGTTTGCCTTCTTTAAAACGTCCTGATTGATTTTAACTCTATAACAAGCCCAATCTAATTTAGTAACACCCAACAACAAAATATCAGAAATCTCCTCCCATTCCGCCTTTTAAAGTTAATTTAATTTATATACCAGTTAATTTTTTTTTCAATTACCTTCTCTAAAATTAATTATCTTCAGGTGCCTCAGGGCTATAACCAATAACAGATACCTACAACAAGCGAAAGGTAAGGCTTTCAATAGCAAAATCGACGCTTCTGATCTAAATTTTGGACCGTCAATTATATGGGTATCTGTCAGGTTTTTTTCTTTATATTTTTTGTTCAATTCAGTTCAACAATATTTGTTTATAAGAGATTTTTTTTATTAATTGAAATCGATAAAGGCGTAGCTGGTTTGATTGATTTTGCAATAGTGCTTCCGTTTTGGTGTACCTATTACAATTAAATGTGTTGCTATTGAAGGATACATTTTGTGTTTGATATTCCTTATTGCTTATTGACTAGCAACTATCCATAGCAACAGTTAAAATTGCCTTATATCTATCAAAAATAGTAGATAAAATAGTACTTTAACCGCAAGAGTAGATTAAATGATATTTTAACAGCGAGGATAGGTTAAAAACTTTATTTCTTCTAGCACGTTTTTTAATTGCTTCCATTTTTGAAAATTTTTGTATTTATTTTCATAATTTATTCGGGATTTAAATGGTAATTTACATATTCTGCTTTGAGCCATTTCTGGCTTCAAATTAATCAGCAATCGACACGAAAGAGAATTAAAAAATATTGATTCAAAACTGACAACTAAAGAGACAACCCTGCACAATATTTTTTCTACTCGTAGTAAATTCCTTGAAATAATAATTTCTGAATATTTTTTAAAACGTATCTCGCTATGGAAAAGAAATATTGTATTATACACGACGATAAAATTGCATTATCGTCTTCCGAAATTAATTCACTGATGGCGATTTTATCGCTCGTGAATTAATCTATTCGGTCGACGATAAAATTCCATTTTATCGTCTTGTATAAAAAATAACTAAAACTAGCCTGACTCAGATAACGTAGTACCGTCTTGTAGTGAAGTGAAGTTATTTTTTTTGTCTTATCTTGTGGTATGAAAGACTGACTAAATGATCTCGAATGATTGCTTGATAATAATGAAGATCTTCCATTGTTCCACTAAAAGTTTATTGTATAAATGTTCTTGTAGACTGTTGAGACATAGACATAGTACTTTCTTTGGTACTCAGGCAAGCGAATCGTTATAAGCCGCGACCAATAAATCAATAGGTACTAACACCAATCAACCGATTGTGTTTTGTGGTACCACCATCGGATCCCGAACCATTTAGGTACCGATTTTCTATTTTGAAGTATCTGTTTATTGATTCGCAAGT